TAAGGTCAGCGGCCGCAGTCAGCCTGAAACGTAAGAAAACTGGCCATATTGCTTCAGCTCGTAACAGAGCATACATTAAGTGGCAAAGCATGCCCGTCAGAAGGTTTTCAACTTGCATAAGAAGAACATTCAGCACACCGTCCTTATTCCTCTCACTTCGCTGGCTGCGTAACATTTGTTTAGGGCTCTAAAACTACGTGGGGACAGTGATAGCATACCAGTCGAATATCTGACCCAAAGTTTTGAAAACAGGAGTAGTGAAGGGCGAACAGGGCCCAAGAGTGGGGCTACATGGGCTACATTCTTGTTGAAGTAGTGGAACAGGTTACGCAATCTTTATCCACCAAACACCCGCAATCCTGGTTACAAATAGACCTCCCCGAAGAGTATGGTGCAAGTTCTACCCCCAGAATCTCCAATCTGAGTAAGATCATGAACTAAGAGCAAGAGAGGTGTAACAGATTTATTAGTTTATCACAAAAAAATTATTTTTACAGCTTTTCTATTGCTTGGGATTAACGACATATGTTCGGTAGCGGGCAATATAAAATACAGCGATAGTGGATGTGAGAAAAATGAAGACGAGTAATACCGCCGCAAACAAAATCGTCAATGCTGGGAAGCAGACAGTTCGTGGCAGCATAGGTGCAACAGAAGTGTACTGAAATGGCAAACATCACTGGACTGGATTGAAAGCAAGTCTATATTACCTGTTCGTTTCTCAGCGCAAGTATGTCCTTTTCGGCTGTTACAGTGTTAGCATCCAAAGTGTCCTCCATAGTCAGTGTAGCAGCTACTTCAATCTTACTCGTTTTGTGACCATTATCTGAACTCACTGTATTACGTTGTTGGCGAAAAATTTCTGTCACATTTTCACCACAAGGTAAAGTGATTTAATTCTCTTGAAGATATGCGCAACAGTTGATATACAACAGAACAAAGTCTTCACCGTTGATCAACTCCTGTTGTGTGATCTGAATCCATGTGACCTATACAATCACCTACGAAGGGGGGGGGGGAGGGCAGCCGATGTAGTCAGTGTTCTCATCCTCACTGATGAATCTCGTACGAATCCACCGTCACCGATGGTGGGAGGCTTGCTTGGCCTGGGCGGGAATCGACCCAGGACTTGAACCAAGACCAGCGAGTGAGTAAGCGTGCTACTTCCACTGCACGCCTCCGCCTCATGATCAGTGGATAGAATATATTAATAACAGTACCAAGACAATGCACCGCCTACTGTACCAGTCTCTTGTTTCATACCCTCGTCATCCGGGCAGTTGATTAGGGCGGTCGTCAACGGGCCGCAGCGCGTGCCAGGAACTATTTGCTTTTTCCAGGCTAATTTAGTCATTTTTTCCAACTTTTCACTGTTTTGGCTACTTTTTCCCAGATTAGCAGCTCCTTATCTTCACAAGGTGGAAAAAAATGACTAAATTAGCCTGGAAAAAGCAAATAGTTCCTGGCACGCGCTGCGGCCCGTTGACGACCGCCCTAATCAACTGCCCGGATGACGAGGGTACTTCTCTTTCGCAATATGGAAAAGGATCTCGTCTCCACCGTCAGCACTGACTCTCTGAAACTCTCTTCTTCTACTACTACGGCTCACGTGTGGGAGCTGCCGCGGTCAAAGTAAAGGAGCTGCATAAGGACGACGCTCCCTTACCGGACAACCTTGCACGTCGTCAATGGTCGGGAACGGGCCTGGATGGTTCCGTATTCCAGGTGCCATCAACCAACTACGCGCTGCTGCATTGGCAGCCACACTCCTAACCTTGGTTAAACTCCCCTCTGCACCGGTTCCCTGATTTTCTTTGCCTCTGACTGTGTGTTTGTTGTGGAATCTCGGGATGGGCGCAAGCGCTACACATGCGCGGGACGAGTATGGACACAACACCTCACCACTCTCCAGCTCCGTTCTCGTGCACTTTCAAGCGAAGAAGGGGGCAGGGTAGTGCAGCTGTTGGCCTGTTCACCTCGCACATGAAGATGGAAGGTCCTCAGGTGTGAATCTACGGCTTGTTTATATATAACTTACGAATAGCACTCCTTTTCCCACCTGCAGCTCTTGCACGCCGTAATGGCTCGCTAGGGAAGACCATTTCCCTATTTTCACGGTTGCACTTAGGTGGGGTGAGATGTTCGCATTCCTCGGCTGTGCGGCAAACTTCCACAACGCACTCGTAGTTAAGGACACTGGCATCACTGAACTTGTAGCCGAGCACTTCCACAACGGCCTGTAAGTGGTTTTTATAATTTAAGACTTCTAGAATTATCCTGGAAATATATTGAGCGCCAAATAATGGGAAATAAGTAAATAAGTCAGCAAACGTTGTTCGGATCCACGTAGTTGATGTCAGGTTGTATGGCAGGATCAACAGCGCAGCCATTTACATCGATCTGAAAGGAAGGAGCTCTTTCATAATTAGAGAACGAAAATGAGTTTAAAGGACGGCAAGCAAAGCAGAACGACAAGACAAGCAGGAGGATTACGGTCAAATACTTACAAGATCAACTCTTTCGCCCCGTCCATCTCCAACGGAACAGCTGTGAACGAGGAAACCACTGGCGACGCCATCACACTGCCAAACATGGTAGATTTTCTCACCAACCCTTCCCATCCTGAAGTGTAGTGTAGTGAACATGCGTGAAATCTGCTCATTCTGGGGCATTCTGTTTCCAACAATCTCCGGTGAACCCCACTTCGCTCATATGAAAAAAGTGGAATGCACATTGATCTTGCTTTCGGGGATTCAACTGGGGATCTAGGGATGAAATATGGTCTCTATTTTCTCAGGAAATCAGCCATTATAGTGAAAGCAAACTGTCCATCTGACGGATGATATGTTTTCACCCAGAGGCCTTGTACCGCTCACGGGAGCTTCACAGGATTTCCTTAAATTGACTTCAGTCTCTTCAATGCAGCAGATACGCCTAGTTCATCTGTGCGGTGCCGGTTGAAAAATCCGCGTGCATCTACGAAACATGGCAAGTGGAGCCACGTGCGCGGTATTCGCTCCAGAGGGTGACTGATTTAATCGTGATTGATTTAAGCTGGAGTCGAGTCAACTAGGCAGGGAACGA